GGGTGAGGGAGGAGGACCACACCCGCACGTACGTATACGGTATATGTGTATGCGCCGAGACTTTATCCTTAAGAAACCATTAAAAAGCTACAAAACGTAGACAACCTAAAAACACACATTTAGAGGTACTTGTCCACCCAGCTAACAGGACACCGCTAGCAGCTAAGCGACTTATCGCCATTAGTACTAAACCTTGAAGCGACGTGTCTACACGCACGAGATGAAGGACAGAAGTTTGTAAGTTGTAATGCACCCTAGGGGGCCCCCGCCCCCCCCCCATCACCCTGACTCCACGCGGCGACTTTTCTTCCCCCCCTCCCCCCCCCCTCCACTACCACCACCGCCACCGCCGCTTCCGGATTTCGGAACTATCTTAAACTAACCGCCTCTGCAGGTACGGCCAGATGTCGTACCAACTGGAGCTGTGTGAAAAAGTACGTCAGCTCAACTTGGAGTCGTTTCGACTGTCGGAAGCTGTGGACTGCCCGTACGGCACCGAGGAGACGTCGTACGGGAACTGCAGTTGGCCTGGGGCTGGGTTGGCGGCGGCGGCCGCGACGACGGGAGGGGGGGCTGGAGGGGGGGTTGCGTTCCGTACTAGCGTTGTAGGAGCAGCGTTGTAGGAGTGCAGTATTATTATCATATACTGTATTCCACGAGTGGAATAGTATAATACAATACACAGTACGAATGGGGTTAGGATACAGTACGAGTGTGGTTATCGGGTCGTTGAGGTAGTTAATGGTTGGTTTGGTTTAGGCTGAATCGGCCACATTCTGTTAAGGTCGTGTGTTTCATATCGCAATAGCAGCAGAACACTGTTCACTGGTGGTGGTGGGTGAGGTAATCGCGGTACCCGTTTCGTTACGTATTTGTTATTATTTATCCGTACAAGTTAGTACTACTATTTATTACGCTCCCCCGCCCCCCCCCCCACACACACATACACATACGCACACACGCCTACATAAGCCCCATTATGTCGGGGCCAGTGCGCCCGGCCTTTCCCACAAAGTTGGAACGTCGGGGGGGCGGGGGGGGGAAGACGAACCACGAACGAGTGAAGGGGCGGAAGGGGGACTTGAACGGCGCCATGGAGGGAAGGAAGGAAGGAATGCAACACATACGGGTAATTGATGTATATGTATATATATCGGCACACGACGCCGGCGAGCGGCGGCTGAGAATTTGCGGTGCGGTCCCCTTGGGTCTGGACGGAAAACATAAGACGCCGTACATTCAAGAAGACGCTTGCTTCTTTCCGTACTGTGCTGTACTGTGCTGATGTCATTTCGGTGTGTAGAGCACAATGGGGAACATAGTGGGCAGAGAAAAAGAGGAGGAGTTCGGGACCTGCTCCTCTTTGCCACATGCCACAGAGCACAAATGATATGCAGCAACACACAGAGAGAAAGGCGTATATACATACATACATACATACAGGGAATACGATAACGCTGTTTCCCATCTGTGCGATCTCCCCACTGGTGTATGTATCATAGCAAATACACATACCTCTCCTTCCCCTCACCCCCACCCGCCCCTTACATTCGCTTGTCCTACTATTCTTCACCATCCCTCAGTCCGTGAGCTGGCCACCTCAGCTCGGCGCCACCCACCGGGCCAACCAAAAGCACTCTCAACACGCCAAACCCCGCCTTCGCTGCACGTATTCTCAACAAACCAACAAACAAACCAACATGCTTCTCCTGGATTTCGAGTCATCCCCCTCTACACACGGCACACACGACACACACATACATACATACTCCCCACCAAAGCACAGGCGTACATAAAGACGTACACTATGGCGACATTTCCTGCGAGTCGACGCCCTCCAGTAGCCCCCCACAGCCCCCTCTGCCCCCTCTCGCGCAGCATACTTTTCCATTTCCATCTGTTCACCCATCACCCCACACAACAGAAATCCCATTTCCTCGGAAGCCCCGTTTCCCCCCCCTCCGGGGGGTGAGGGAGGGCGCCCTGCGGAGGCGTTTGCGATAAGTTGGTTGCAGTCACACAGGTTGATATCCGTACACCTGCACGGCATGTCGTTAGGAAGTACAAACAAATGCTGCCTCTATGGTTGACGGTTGCGATATACAAAAAGACGTTTCGCAATCCGCAATCCGCGTTGCCCGGCAGCGACAGCGATCAGGTAACCTGATCGGCCGAGCTCTTGAGACACCCCGGGGGGTTTGAGCACACCCGTTAGTTAGTTAGTTAGTTAGCACTCGCCTTCGCGCCTTGACGACCACCAACCAACCAGCATTCAGCCACCGTAGCCAGTTGGCCCCTCATCACGCACCATCCACCGCTATCATCATTATTTTTATCATCACCGTCGCCAACATTTCCATCATCATCATCATGAATATGCTCTTCATCGTCATCCTACCACCATCTCTCGCCCGTAGAGGGGGATACTCCTACCCCGGCATGATGATACTTCCTTTCACCCAGCCGTACTCAGCCGTACTCAGCCGTACCCAGCCGTACCGACTGCGCCCGCCTGACGGCCATAACGCAATCCGTCCTTCCAGAGGGGGGGCTAAAGATACAACATACATGGATACATACATGGATACATACATGCATGCATACACACTTTTTTCTCGACAACGCAAAATATACACATACATGCACATGCACATGCATTCACACATGCGCACACGCATGCATGATGCGCGCGAGGGCACCCGCCGTGCCCCCACCTACCTCTCCACAGCCGCATTTCTCCCCGCCCCCTGCACCACCACCACCACCACCACCATCACCCTCGTCCTCTCAAAACACTTACCTCACCACCCCCCCCGATGGACATGCCATCATCCATATTCGGATCGCATCGCCTCGAGCCCTGAGTCGTGTTTCCTTTCTTGTCCCAAATTCCCCCCTCTCCCTTCCCCTTTCCCCCCAACCCCCCCCCACACACACCAAGCTGGGTATCATTTAGACGGACAGGTCGTTAGGATCCCAACAGCCACACAGCCCCTCACCCCCCACACACACACACAGTTGTCCTCGTCAAACATTGTACAAAACGCGTTCCGACGACCCTCGGGGTCCTGTGACCCACGGGTCGCGTGGTCATAAGATTGAACGCGGTCCCGTAGCGTTGCATGACCCATGGGTCAGTCCGTTCCTATCAATATCCAGTCCGCCCGGTTTAACCGCAGGTCGTTGGCGCCACCAAAGTCGATAATCACGGCTGGCGGAGGTCCCCACGCTCCTGTTGTACCTCCAGGCCCTCGCTGCCGTCACCCCACTCGACGTCCCTCCCGCCGCCGCCGCCGCTGCCGCCGCTGCCGCCGCTACGGGTTTGAAGCTCGGGTGTGCCGTTGGCAGTGCCGGAGGCTCTGCGGATTTCCGCCAGGCCGCCGTACACCCCTTCCGAAACATCCCCAGGTGCCGTACCGCTACCACCGCCAACACTACCGCCAACACTACCGCCATTGCGCATAAAGAAGAAGATGCCCCTCCAGCTTGGCGGCGGCAGCGGCGGGTAAAACCCCCCGACACCCCGTCCGGACGACGGCGGCGGCATGTACGGCATCTCGTCCCGTACAATCCATTGCTCACGCAGCCCCGTGCCTGCCTCAGGCCCAATTCGATCAAACACCTTGCCGCCGACGCCGACGCCGACGCCGACGCCGACGCCCGCTTCATCACCGCCCCCTCCGCCAACCTCGGGGACGCCTCCGCAACCGCTGACGCCAGTGTCGTACTCCGTGGCGGAGCTCTGCTCGCTGCCACTGCTGCCGTTGCATGCTCCGGCCGGGGGAGCCCGGGGGGGCCCTGCGACAGATTCGGAAGTTGCTGCAGCGGCGCCGCTATTGATGAGTACGGCAGCCTCACGCCGCTGCGCCTGCTGACGCCGCAGCCGCTTTGCGGCGCGAGCGCCTTGGTGCGCCGCCGCCAGCGACAACACTGCAGCCGCCAGCCACACTGGGCCCGCCAGGAGTCCCAGCGCCGCTGCTCCACGATCATGGCCAGAGCAGCCTGCAATTCAAATATTTGAAAATCGAGACACAACGTCCGCCCCGGCACTACCTTGCATCATAATAAAAACACCGTCACCCCCAAAATCCCTCCTGCCTGTGGATCCCCCTCCCGGCGGCTAGAGTCTCGGTAGAGGTCATGTGACCTGTGACCGTTGCCTGCATGCTCGGATCAGGACTGGTTCATGGTTTGGTGGGAACGGCTTGTGGCGGCGTTTCGGTGCCGTTTCGCGTTTTTGCCGTTTCGCGTTTTTGCCGTTTCGCGTTTTTGCCGTTTCAGAGCTTCTGAATCCTTCTTAACATTCAAAGTAACTTCAAGAGTTCAATTTTCATTATTGGGGTAGAGGGCACCGTCCACATTGGAAGGGAAGACTACCAGTGAATGGCCAGGGAGGGGGAGGGGCCCTTCTCGCTACGCGCCGCTCCGGAAGAGACGCCTAGTCGGTTGCATCACACAACGGACTCTGCCGAGCCCTTGTCTGATTACCTGTATGTACGAAGCGGTACACCACTCTGCCGCGCTTGTACGTCTTCACCACGCATGGTAGTGTCGTTACAGCGGCTGCTGCGGTCGCGGCGGAGGCGGTGAGCAACCACATTACCAGGTCCGCCGTCGCGCACGAGACCAAGTACATCTGTACGTCCGTATGTCATGCGGGGGCACCGGGGGGGATAAAGACCGGGGGGGTGCAAGGAGGACGACGACGACGGAGGGTGAAAGGGTAAACTCAGGTAGTTAGGTAGTTCGGTAGGTAGTTTGGTAGGTAGTTAGGTAGTTAGGGGGGGAGAGCGGCGACCCAGAGGATGAGTATGTCGCTGCCCGCCTTTCCCTTCCAGATCTCACTGCTGCTGCCGCAAGGCGCTGGCGTGTCGACCTCTGATTGAAAACACGCACACCCGCACGACGGGAAAAGAAAACACACTCTCCCGTTCCGCTTGCCCCTTGCCCCCTCTTACCCCCCAACACCGCCGCCTCACACACATACTCCTCACACACTCACACACTCGTGGCGAGACAGACGCGGCTACAGACACCTGTTTGGTGAGCTCCCCCTACTGGCGGGAAGGTCGGAAGGGAGCCGCCGCCACATATCCGGTGAACCTTCGGTGTCCACAACGCGGTCGGCATGACATCATCTCATAACTACCCCTACCGATTACTACGCGCGTGTCTAAACCGCCGCCATTATTACAGCAAGAGGTAGTCCTCGAAGCGTTTCACGAAATCATTACATACATGCCGTACTCCACAAGCACGTGACCTTCGCGACCTTCGGAACGTACCCCTCCCCCCTGCGCCGAAACCGGGAGCCGTACTTCTCTCTAATTTTCGCACCTGCGTGTGTCCCAGCATCCACACGCCACAGACGCCGCCGCCGCCGCCGCCGCCGTTTCCGCCGTCGGCGGCCCGCGCCGCCGCCACCGCCCGCAGCGCCTGCCATACCCCTAGCACTACCGCTACCCCTAGGCCTAGGCCCGCTACCGCCACCAAAAAGCCGTACACGGTCGTCCAGCTGTAGTTCCTCAAGCACGCCATGGAGGCCAGGCAGCCAACAGTCAGCGCAGCTTGGGCCACCCTGAGCACCTCCAGGGGGGGGAGGGAGATGTGGGGAAATGGGGACGGAGATTTCAGGATGTTGTTGGGTGGGGGGTGGGGTTGCAATGTAAGGTGGTGGTGGTGGTGGGGGTGGGGGTGCCTGGACCGCGGCGTACGAGGAGGGAGAGAAATCCCAGGTGGAGGAGATCTCTTGGGGGTACGGCGACGGCAGTGGCGGCGGCGGCAACGGCGGCAGATGATGCAAGAAAAGCCTTTCAGAGAAAAAGGGATATTCCGCATTTTACAAAGGACGAAAACAGGACGTGTTGCGCACACGCCCTCCACTCGAACATAACCCCCCGTACTGGTGCGCGGTTGAGACCAGGGGGGACCCGGGGCCGGGCGCCGTCGCACATCAGCAGTGGCAACAGCAAAAAGCAGTAGAAACAACAGAAGAAAAGTAGTAGCAAAAATAAAAGTAGCAGCACCAACAACGACAACAGCAGCGGCAACAACAGCACACATACATTGCTCGTGTGCGCAGCTCAAAAAGCACGTGGTGGTGCACAGCACAGCACAGCACGCACCGCACCGCAAGGCAAGGAAGCTCTGCGCCAGCCACGCAGCCTCCTGCACCCGAAAACTGGACGACGCCAAGCACGCCGCCTGCGCCGCCGCCGCGCCGCCGCCGTTGCCCCCTCCGCCATGTCCGTACAGCCCCGGAATATCTACCTCGTCCAACGCCGCCATCCACGAGGGCCTGGACTCCGGCGGCACTTTCACGCCGTCGCGGCCGTCGACGACGCCAACGCCAGGGACTGTGAAAGCGACCGGTGGAGGCGGCGGCGGCGCCGCCGCCGCCTCCCAGTGCGGTCCCGCTGGCGGCGCTGCCGTACTCTTGTCCCGACCGCCGGCAGCACTTCCGCTGACGCAGCGGGTTCCGCCACCCAGGACAGAGCGCCACACCGCCGTCAGGCCGCCCGCGATGCCGCCGCCGCCGCCGCCGCCGCCGCTGCTGCTGCTGCTGCTGCTGCTACTGCGCCCATCTTCCGCTGCGCGCCCTCCCTCGTCGTTACGTGCCCCCGGCGGTATACGAGCAGCCGTGGTAGGCTGTACAATGCGTACGGCTGCCTTCTTCCACGCGCTGTGTGTGCGTGTGTGTGTATGTATGTGTGAGAAAGGCACCGGCCAACCGCGGAGGGGGTGTTTGTGTGAGGTATGTGTGCTTGAATGTGCGCATGCTAGGCGGGGACGGCAATTCGCACGTATGTATGTCGGTATGTGCGCCCCGTGTTAAGGTCGTATAAGACCGCGCCACGAGTGCAAAGGTTTTAGAAGGAAGTTCATGAACTGCTGTACGACCAGGACCCACCAGGTAGCCACCCACCGCATGTACTCGATCGCGAGGTTGATGCGGCTGTCAGCACCCAGTCCGCTGTGTCCAGCCCGCCACAACAGCACCTCGTACAGCAGGCTCAGGGAACCCAGGAGGGCCATACCAAACACAAGACCCGTGGCCTGAGGGAAACGTCGGCGGCGGCGAGGGGGAGGGGAGCGGAGCCCGGGGGGCGGGGGGAGAGAGATCACGTGCTACATCATGACCTATTAAAAGGAAGTAGGAAGCCGCCCGGGTTCGGTTGGGGGAAATGCTTTTAATAATGATAACAACGTGTGAGGAAGAACCTGTACCGACAATAACATGCAAACATGCGAGCCACTGGGAGGGCATCATTCCTGATGGGGGAAACCGGAAATGAGCTGCCGACGTCCTGGGCAGGAAGTGCCCAGTGGCCGTCCTAAGCGATGGGGAAAACTGCAGGAGGGGGGGGGGGTTAAGAGAGGAGGCAGACGAAACCCGCACGCCTGCTGGGGGAAAGGGGGAAAGGGGTATTGGAGAGTTTTGGGGGAGCAAAAAAGACAGCCAGCCATTCGAGCGGCAACAGGGAATGGAAAACCGAATGGACAGTTTTCCACGACTCGTCAGCTCCTGCCGTACATTCGCCGCAAATACGAACACGTATCGAAGTGGAGGCACCACACAATGGAAATGTTAACTCAGTCAATCAGTCGAAAACGACAACAGCTCCCAAGTCACCTCACAGGAGTGAAAACCCGTATACATATACGACTTACGAACAAACAAATAGCTTTCGAGAGTCCGGAAAGTGACCCAATCCAACCAAACAAAGCTAACCAGACAAATGACCCACCCCCCCACACACAGAGACTCTGATGCGAAGCAGCTCACCCCCTTGAGTTTGGCACAGTCATGATGTCGTACACAACTCATCCTCAACCGGTGTCGGAGCCCCAGTCCCGCAGCTGCCGACGTGGCCGCGGTGGCGCTGCGGGGCGCGGGGAAGGAGGAGTCCCCGGGGGGTGAGGGGGAAAGACGAACCACGAACGAGAGTGAGCGGGGGTGAGGGGGGCGGGGAAAGAGGTAAGGGGGCCGGGGGGAAGGAGTCGGTTACAGGAACAAGATATACCGATCCGGATTCGAATCCGGATCCGGACGGCGGACTAAAAAGGAACGTAGATCCTGATGTTATTTATTTTCAGAATTAGGTTGGCGTGATATTCCGTTTAAATAAAAGATTAGACCCGGATTGCGCAATCCCGGAAAACGGCCCCCACCACCTCACCAGAAAAGGATCCATACGAAGTCAAACAGGATGTTGACGGACAGAGCCAGATGTCTGGCTCTGTTGTGCCACTCCAGCATCCCCACAACCAAGATGGCCGCAAGCGTAATTACTGCACAGGTGCCGCCGAGGTGGGTTTTTAGAGTGGGGTTCGCGGGACCTGGTTTCGTTGTTGGTAGTTGGGAGCTCGGAAATGAAGGTGAGCATACGCGAGAGGGGAGAATTCATACAGAGATTCTCGCTGAGTCAGTCCGGTCCGAAGCTCATAAGATTCGGAAACGCATGTGCATATGGCACGGCAGGACACTTAACGAGCAGGAGGCAAAAGGGCGAGAGTGCTTCCTGCTCTTTCAAGACTTGACGTAGCGAGTTCCCACAAAAAAGCGCAATATTGCGGAATAGAAAATAACAATATCAACCTGTAATGTTAAAGAAACTGCCAAACGCAAAGTTAGCTAAGTTAACGAAGTTGTCAAAAGAGGCTTTCATAAGCAGCAAAGGTCTCGAGCGTTTCCTGTTTGTTTAATGATCGGAGCCAGCTCGGTTGAAGTAACATTTTTACCTGTTACAGCCAAAAGGTAACGGAACGGTGCCAGGCTGGACCAACCATCCTCGGCAATCACCAACGAAAGCGCCGCGAGTGCCAGCGCCCATTGCGCTGTGCGCATGTATTTGCCCCACTGAGGCGTCTCCTGAGCTTGCCGCGAAGGTGAGGGCGAGGGCGGCCGCGGCTGAAGACCGACCCGCGGGTCGTTCTCAGTTGGTGCTACCTCAGGGGCCGGTGCTTCACCAGCATCGGTGCCCCGGCTTACGGGTATCATCCCTACACCTCTGTCTTGACGGCGTTGCAGATACTTTTCGCGCTCTGCCGCCAAGGCTGCGTTCGCTGATTGGCCGAGTCCTAACGCGAAAAAGTGTTGTGCGGAAATGAAAAAGGTTCTTCTAAAGTGAAAAAGGCCGGGGTCTCTTCGCCGTTAGCTAAACGTCTTCATACAGTGCTCGGGTAGAAGACAAGGCACGGAAGGTCGACGGTAATAAGGAAACAACCACATTTTTTTCAGGACATGGCAAAAGTTTTGGCTGGTACCTTATGGGAACGGATCGCAGAACACATATGTTGTGACAGGCCAGGCAGATGATACAGCAGCTGTCTAAGTCACTCAAGCTCCCCTCGGACGGAGGGCCCTCCTCGGATCATGTAATAGACAGCCAGCCGTGTGCATAATCGCGCGCTGGAAAAAGAAAAAACGATGCCTACTCGCATAGACTGAAACAGCGTTTGTGTGCGAATTGGAAAAGGGTTGTTCCCAGATGAAAAGGTGCACGATGGCCTCCACATCTACAGAGATTCCTGCTAGGAACCTGCATCTCAAGAACGGACAGGGAAAAACGAAATGGGAACTTGCGTAATAAATGCAAGTTTCGGGAATGCACGAGACAGAAAAAGGCAAACAACGACGTCATCCCATGACGATACGCCGGGAGAAAGGTGTCCGTAAGGAAGCACACGGCAGCGCCTGCCTTCGCTACATGCTCTGTGGCGTAGCTAGGTAACAGGCAATAGCAGTTAGGTATATTACAGGGTGTTGCGTGCACGAGGGCGTACATGACGATACGCCGGGAGAAAGGTGTCCGTAAGGAAGCACACGGCAGCGCCTGCCTTCGCTACATGCTCTGTGGCGTAGCTAGGTAACAGACAATAGCAGTTAGGTATATTACAGGGTGTTGCGTGCACGAGGGCGTAGTAGCGCAATGCGGGGCGTACCAGGTGACTACAATCGCCGGGGTAGCCCATCTGTTCAACGGGTAAGGATACATAGCATAAAATACTCTCAAGTGCACGCAGGCGGCAATTAATATTAAGAACTTACGCCTCCGAGCAGTACTGAATAGTGATTCTCAATTTTGACCAAGGAATCTCGTTACCCTGGATTCGTGCGGCGCACCGAGGCACATAGCTTGCGTGTATGTTTGTGTGTGTTAGCACATAGCTTGCATACCGCGGCCGGCCATCGTTGTTGCTGCTGTCGCGGCATCATAGCAGTAATAGAAGCACCCGTAGCCACGGGCTCGCGGCCTTGCACCTACCCAAGCTTTTCGCTTGTTGGACGGCCCCTACGACCCAAGCTAGACCTAAGCCGACGACCTTGGAGGTGCTAATCCACGCACCCACCCACCCACCCATCCAAACCTTGAATATATCGCGTATCGTTCTGTGTACATAGCTCTTTCCTTACGCGGGCTGAGATTACCGCAATCTACCATCCTCCGCGCGGCGGACACCACTGTAATCGCCTCCGCCGCCACACCCCGACTGCCGACGAGGAGGGGGCCTGCGCACGGCCCAAACTGAGTCCGCTAGAGATGCGTGTATGGCCGGCTGACTATTGCATGTATAGGGGGTGTCGAATTTCCTTTTTTTGTAGAAGTTTATGCTAAACAATGCAGGGTCTTTGTCTAGGAGGCCGGGGATGTGATTTCATGGGGCTGAAGTTGAGGACAAAGCCATCAGAAGTAAAGCTTTTTGGCAAAGCTCGAAAGTTACGTGGGGAAAGGTTTGGGAGCAAAGGTGCAGGGTGGAAGCTTCCAGACTGTCTAGAGAACGCGCGGAGCGGTGCCAGTGCTGACTGACAGCACCGTACATGCGATTACTTGTGCGCCGTGCGAGAAGTCGGAGATGCTCTTGACGAAACCCATGAACGAAATGGAAAGGAACTGGTTTTGTTAGGTATCGAAAGGACCCATGTAGCCGCATCCGACAGTGGGGCGAAAGCAATGGAACACCGGGTACGGCTTTCCGTGAAATGGCCGGAGGCATTCGTCGGAGGACTGCATTTGCTTAGCAGGGCTAGGGCGAGAGGTAGGGGCGGAACGGAGAACTGATGCCCATATTGGGTTGATCATGCATCGGATTGCCCCGTCTGTACTGCTAAGGGTCCAGGTGAAAATGCAAAATCAGGAGGTATTTGGAGCTGGATTTCACAATGTTCCGATCGCGAGATGCTCGAATAAGGGGCATGCAAGCAGCGCATTATTTCCAATGCCTGTCGACACGAATGAAACACATTGCAATATTGGCGACTGCTGGTTCAAGCTAGTGGACCTATGTCCGTCCCTGCCAAAGCTCGAAGGGGTTACTGAAGCCGCGTGTAGAACGGACGCCTTGTGCATTTTGAGTTACCACACTTCATCGTGTAGGAGCAGCGTTGGATGTAGCACATACTGGGTGTTTACGCATGGTGTCTTTGCCGTCCAGATTAAAACCCATCGCAAGAACTGCCTAACGGATCGCTGTAGAGCTCATCTAGACGAGCTTTCAGCATCACAGACACATCGAAACGGGCGTTGAAAAGGACGCCTGAGACCGATTGTTGAAGTGGGCGGGGAGGAGGCCATGACCGTCGCCTTTTGGACTCACTTAAATGTTCCGACAGAAAGTGGCATACATATAAAAAAAGACGTTTCCGCGGGAAGCTCTTATTTTTGTTTTCATGTCTACTGTTCAGAGTTTTGCTGTATTCGCAGCGTCTTCGTGCCAGGATCCAGCTCGTACCCCATTCAAAGACCTGAAAAAAAGGTGGAAAACATCCCTTCTCTACTGCTGCCTAAGCTATGTGTTCTTAACAGTAAAGCAATTCAATTCTTATCATGGGCTTGGCTAACAAACTCGACTAAAATTGTGGGACATTTTGCGCTTGAAGGAGGCGCATCCGTGCGCTTGCTTGTCGTGGAGTAGTATAAGCAGGAATGGAAGAGGTAAGTTGCTCTTTCATGAACTTGCGCTACTGTCCTGCGTGTGACAGCTGAAGTAACAATCAGCGCGGCTACGCAGAATCGCACCGACTACACGGAGGTGCCCCAGGTTGGAAAGAGGCGGAGTTCTCTGGGAGCTCTTAACAAGTCCAAACCTGTCACAAAGCTCAAGAGCATGTTCGAAGCAAAGGGTGAGGGCATGTGCTTTCAAAAGGAGGGCTTAAACATCTTCGTCTGCAATCCATGCGTTACGGAACGTGAACTTAATACAAAGTCTCGATATATTGCAGGTGCAGCACCTAAGGCCAAGGATGCTAGCCTACTGAGCAAGCTCAAGCCCATCTCCGCGAGCCATGACGCTGGCTCTTTTGCAGCAGCTCTATCGGGATCTATGAGCGCGCTAAAGATGTCAATTAGTGGGCCCATAGGACTACCTCCTACGACGCCTCCGGAGCCTCTGTTCGCTGTGTTGCCGGGCCCAGCGGAGCCGGACGCGATGCCGAACCCCAGTCCTCCACGCAGCGTTGAAGAGATGCGGACAAGCATACCGGGCTACGAGTCGCTACCCGACGGCAGTGAGGCCGATGCAAGGTCAGCAAAATCGCCTGGATCTGCCGGCTTTCTGAAACGTATGAGTAGCAGCCTCAAGAAGGCTCTGACGCCTAAGTCGTCGGGCGGGAAGCACAAGCATGGGGGCTTCAGCCCAAGCTACGCTGGAAGCGAGGCGAGCAACTTGTCGCCGCGTCCATCCGGTCAGCTGCTGCTAACCCCCTCCAGTCAGCCATCCTCCACCTCGCTGGACCTCAACTGTCGCAGCGACCAACAGCAGTCAGCACCACTACGGTCACCCTCGGGTTTAATGGGTTATGATGTTCACAGCGCACGCGACGACTGGGTGCGCTCCTGTGACGGCAGCGCAGAGGGCGCGCCGCGTCCCATCTTCAGCGGCTCGCGTCCTCCCAGATCACCCAGTGTGACGCCTCCGGCAAGCGGCCCTTATCTCGATGGCCTCACCACACAACATGAGGTTTCACTCCAGAGCACATCACGGGACGTCGCCCCTCGACTGGCCCCCACTGCTAGCCCGGACCAGAGCCAAATCTTCAAGGACGTTACGACTGCGGGCGCTCCAATGGTCGCGGAAGACAGTTTCATAAGCACCGACGCTGATGGGGGTGTCTTTAGCGGACCCACCCACGGCGCAGTGCCTGAGGACAGCTTCGCGGAATCTCTGACGGCCAGCCCAACCGTGCTAGAGGGGAGCGAGGTGTCTCGTCGCAGCCCGCCTGCACGAGAAGTCAACATGGGTGCTGCGCTCTTTTCACCTCCACATCCCCTTTCGTCAGAAATCGCCGTTGTTGCTGATGCTCAAGTGGATGACCTGGTTTTTCCTAGCCTCCTGTCAACCGACCTACCAGAAGCTATGGTGCTCGTGCCGGATGCCGCTGCCCCAGCAACCGCACCGCTAGTCGCCGAATCGCTCGGTGCCATTGCCTACACATCTGCTGACGTTGACATGGCAGCGTCCGAGGCCATGGTTCCCGCCGAGGAGTCATTGGTTGCCGTGCTGGAAATCGAGCAGGTGGCTGCAGCATCAGCGGATACCATTGCAGCGGCCGCGTCCATGGAGGTCGAGGGAGCCGCGCGACAGGAAACTGCCTTCCAGCAGCCCTCGGAAATTGCAGGTCGCCCGAGCTTCGGTGTGCCTGCTTCGCTCGACTTGGACCTCGCCGCAGCTGCTAAGAACAGTCCCGGCAGCCCTGACGCCGAAACCCCGACCGCCGGAGGCGACACGGATAGCTGCATTATTGGCTTGACGCCTGTCCGCCCTGGCACTGGCGCCTTGTGTGAGATGAATGTCGACACGCCCACCTTGAGCACAGTTGCTGAGGGTTCACCGGAAGCATCTCCAGCA